TTAAAATTGTATTCTGAGATTGAACAGTTGAAACAAAAGCTAAAACTCATTGAGAATCCTTTGTTGAGGTATCTATGTCTTTGTTATTCTTAGTTGATTAACATCTTCTTTTTTTTTCCCCAGCTATCTTCTGAAAACTGATATGTGTGTTTGGTTTCTTTAAGGTATGTGTTTGGTTACCAAAAGAATTCTAATATCCAAGCAAAGGGCGCCCGTGGGAGTGGTCAGAAGGTAACACACGTGGTCTCCTCCGCCATGATGCCTGGGCTGCTGCGGTCCCTGCTCAAGGACAGGCTTTGTCAGGAGCCTTGTGAGGAGGAAACAGAGATTCAGGTAAAAGGAGACTGTCTCACTCCAGGTGGCCTTTTTCCCTCTGACTCACCCAAGGTTTTCATGAATTCTACAAAGTGTTTACAGGAGCTTCCCAGAGCTGGTTTTCTGTGCCATGGGAGTTAGTGAGGGCCCTGCCTTTGGTCAGGAATAGTCACTTACCAAGCTTGCACTGGGCTCAGTGCACCGCCAAAGTGGATAATTAAATACTCAGTTTGGACTCCCTTTTCAAAGTGAGACGTGAAGGCACCTGGAGTAGTAGTCGGGTCGCTTTTGGGAGGCGTGTATCTGCCAAATGTCATTGTTGTTTTCTAGTTCCATAGTGATCCGTTGTCTGCTATAAATGCCTGCTATGAAGGCGACAGTGTCATTGTTTGTCCTGGCCATTACGTGGTGCACGGCTCGTTCTCCATTGCTGACTCCATTGAGTTGGAAGGTGAGTGTGGGAGGTCACGCAACCAGACTCATGCATGACGTGCTCACGAAAACAGTAAATTACTCATCTTGTGGCGGCTTCAAGAATGGAGTTTTAACTCATTTGATTTCAAATGAATTGCCACGAAATTAACGGTTTTCAAGGCTTACAGGGAATTGACCCACTGTTTGAGCAACGTGACTTACAGTTCTTTATAACATGTATATGTTGGGAAGACATTCCTAGTCAACATACAGAAAAAAGACCACTAGGAAGAAGTGGACTTTCCAGATTGTCGGTGGTTTTAGAAAGAAAATCTCATTTCTAGAATAAAAAAGTATACCCAGCAGTATTATTTTAGTTTAGTATTTTTTTGGACTTGTTGCTTGCTCTTATTTCATATACGTTGTGGGTATATGGTGTGTGGTTTTTTGTTTTAAATTTAGCTTATTTGTGTTGGAGTATAGGGAAGTACATTTAACTTGAAATGGGTACAAAATAAACGTCACTGAATTCTTCAAAAGCTTGATGAATGTTACAAATTCTACACTTTGTGTCTTGGCCAAAGTGTATTTTTGAGAAAATTAATGTTGAAAGATTCTGTAAAAGACAACTTCTCAGTTGTTATAATCTCCTTGTACATTTAGAGCGATTCCTGAACGTAGGCTACTCTACAGCCGTCCATCTTGGTCCTGTGTATTTCCATAACACGTCAAATTCAGATGCACCTGCTCAGCTACTCATGAAAACAGCTTCAAGTTAGCAATAAAGCTTGTAATGCAAAAAATTGTATATCATTTTGGGACTTGTGCAGCTGTTCACAAACTGCTTAAGCTAGGTTCTTTATCTTGTCAAAACTTCTTAATGGAAGTAAGGCTGGGCATTTAATCTCCTGCTGTTCACTGGTGCGGCATCTCACCCGCTTTTTGTTTTCTGTGCGTAATTTTTGTTCTTCCTCCTCTCCATGTGTGTATACGTAACACATCTGCAGGATAAAGCACTGCAGTAAAAACACTTTGTTTTTGGCGTAGTGAAAATAACATTGATATTACAGATGGTGTGGTGGATAAGAGTTCTTCCTAGATTGGCGAGGAAATTATAATGTGATTGCCAGAGTGTCATAAATATCCATCCAGAATTCTGGTACTTAAGTGTAAAAATGACTGTAAATTTACCAACCGAGGGCATTTTTGAGAATTTGGGGAATCAGGTGGTATCTCTACTAGTGTGAATATATGGAGGACTTGTTCATGAGTAAGATTTAAGCTTATCTGGCCGTGAGCTATAGCTAACACTTATAACAAGAGATATGTACCGAGTACCTGCTATGTGCAGGCCATTTCCATTGTATAGTAGGGCTTTTCTTGTTTGGAACTTCCATTTACTTAGTTGATGGTTTTATGTTTTAAGCTGCTGAGAATACATAATTTGTTTATGTAATAATCTCATTTTTTTCTTATGGCAGTTCTTTTTATATTTTTTATTTTTCTGGTTATAAAATCAGTGGTTACTGTAGAAAATATGCCAAGTACATGCAAACACATAAAAAGAATTGGAGGAAAAAAAAGGCTCGTAATCCCATCATCCAGAGTAGATTACCAGGAGCCTTCTGGTATAAGAAGTTGTCTTGCGTTCTCCGGTGTCCCCGGAGGCTTCTCTGTACGCTTCATGCATAGACAGCCTCCGTGGCTTTGCCTCTCTAACACAGTTACTGGTTTTATTTATTCAAGCCAAGACTTACCTTTAGACAGTGAGAGTTATTTCTTATCGACAGCTTTGTCTGTCTGCTTCTGTTTCATGACGAAAATCAGGGATGTCCTCTACTTTTCTGATCCTCAAATTTTTTTTGGTAAGCCCACTCAACGGCCCCATCTGCACCTTCAGTTTTATTTAGATTTATAGGGATCCAGTGATTTCCATTGGTTCCTATGTTGGTGAACAAGCTAGGTTTCTTTTTCCAGTAGCTAAACTAAGTCAGATTGTCAGATTTTAAGTCAGTCAGTTGAAGAGAATATTAAAATTAGATAACCTGAGAACTGCTTAGGCTTTTTCAAAGCTAATTTGTATTAGAATCTTGGAGTTGGAATAAAGCCTTAGAAGGATTGAATGCTTAAACCCCTTTGACTCGGCTGTGAGCATTTGGATTATTTATTGTTTCATAGTGGTTCTGTAAGTGAATTTAGTGCTGATCTGATCTGAAATGGTTCATAGGGTAGTCTTCCTGATATGGGGCAAATTGAGGAGTTGTTACTGTTAAAAATTGAATATCATGGTTTAAATTAATCAAGATATATTGGGAGATAATTACATATTACTTAAATGCAACTGGTTGATTGATCTCAAATATTGTGTGGAATCATTTGAACTAAAGAAATCTGTGTTTTTCTGTTTAGGCGTTTCCCCTCACCCATCTGCGTCTTGCTCTTTTCCTTAGGATATGGTCTGCCAGATGATATTGTGATAGAAAAGAGGGGCAAAGGAGACACTTTTGTGGATTGTACAGGTGCAGATATTAAAATCTCAAGCATAAAATTTGTTCAGCACGGTGCTGTAGAAGGAATCTTAAGTAAGTATCTGAGTATTTGGTGTATCATTTGTTCCAGGCTTTGAAGAAAATCTTTGCTTTTCATGAAGGATACACTTTAATGAAGCACCACTCTTGAGTGGGTGGAAGGTTGATTATTTAGGTACATAACCTGGCAATTTAGGGAGCTTTACTCCAAAGTGAAAAACAGTTGAGCCTGTTCTTTGAGATTTGTTAGTTTAATATTGACCTCTCTTCTGTGTGATCAGTTTTTCCCTTTAAAACATTCCAGTATCGTCTGTTTTCTCTGTGTTCGACCGAGCACTTGCTTCACCCCAGCTGTCTTCATGCCTCTGTAAGACTGTTTCCTAGGCACCGCACCCCCTCTCTGAGTTAGGGCTCTCTTCTCCCTCTAGGCTACTCAACAAAGTTACTCTCCGATTCTTTTTTCTAATCCAAAGTGCTTTTTAACTTGATTGTGCACTTCTGACGTCAGGTCATTCTTTTTTCAGAATGTTGCTTTTCGACTTCAGAAAATAACTCAAAATAGTCAAAATATTATGAATTTAGAATTCAGATGATCAAGTTTGAAAGCTATTGAGAAACATTTAAACCATGTCTAATGTGAGGTCAAGGCTGTTTCTAACGTTGGAAAAGACATAGTACTCGTGAAAGCAGCGGACTGTATGTTTTCATCACAGGCATTCACCGTGGCAAGACCACGTTGGAAAACTGTGTCCTGCAGTGTGAGACCACGGGAGTCACCGTCCGCACGTCAGCAGAGTTGCTAATGAAGAACTCAGATTTATATGGTGCCAAGGTATGCTCCTCTCCTATGCTTTTGGTGAAGGAGTTTGGGTTTTCGTTCTAAATAAATCGATAAAATATGGGGCCAAACTGTAAATGCGTATTCCTGTTTTCTTTCTTCAAAGGAGTCCAGTCAGCCCGACTCAGATATACAAGGTTATTCTTATTTTTTAGCATTTTTCCCAACAGGTTAGGAAGAAAAAGAATCCATCCTACAGGTGCTCTCTGGTAACTTAGGCCCTTAAAGTCATAACTTTGTAACCAAGTTTGTAGTAATCAAAACTCAGTTACTTTTTTAGAAAAAGTTGAACTTCTTACTTTAAGATAATTGTAGACTCACATGCAGTTGTAAGAAATAATATACAGAGATCCCATATGTATACCCTTTACCATTTTCCCCCAATGGTTCTCTTGCAAAACTAGAGTACGCTATCTCAACAGGATATTGACATCAATAATCAACATAGGGGTCACTTTGTCACCACGAGGATTCCTCATGTCACCCTTTCATAATCACACCCATTTGTCTCTCTCCCCCAGCCCCTCCTTAACCACAGGCAAACACTAATCTGTTCTCGCTTTCTATCATTCTGCCCTTTCAAGAATGTTACATAAACGGAATCATACAGTATGTAACCTTTTGGAATTAGCTATCCTCACACAGCCTAGTCCTCTGGAGACTCATCCGAGTCGTGTGTATTAGTCGTTTATTCTCTTTATTGCTGAGCGGTACCCTCTGGTGCGGCTGTGCTGCGGTCAACTGTTCACCTCTTGGAGGACAGCTGACTTGCATCCAGTGGTTGGCCGTTGAGAATAAAGCTGTGCTAACATTTGTGTACAGGTTTTCGTGTGAACCTAAGTTTCATTCCTCTGGGATAAATGCCCAGGAGTGCAGTCGCTGGATCATATGGTAGTTGCGTGTTTAATTTTTTAAGAAACTGCCAGACGATTCTCCAGAGTGGCTGTATCATTGTATCTTCCTGTCAGCAATGTAGGAGTGGTCCAGTTTCTTTGTATCCTTGCCAGCATTTAGCGTTTTCAGTGTTTTTTTTAATCTTAGCTGTTTGTATTTTCTCTTTGGTATAGTGTCTATTCAAGTCTCTTGCCCATTTTTTTTCTTTTGGTTTTAACGAAGAGAAGTTTATTTCCTCACAGTCAAAGTAGGCTATAAGTCCAAATTCAGGGCGTCAGCTCCACGGGAAGGCTTCTTCTCTCTGTCGGCCTTCTTCTCTTCAGTGTTCCCGCCGACTAGGAGCTTCTCTGCACAGGGACCCCGGTCCAAGGACGCACTGTGCTCCTGGCACTGCTTTCTTGATGGTATGAGGTCCCCCTTTTGCCCATTTTTTTTTGATTGGATTGTTTGATTTTTTTTGTAGTTCTTTATATATCCTGGATATTTGACCCTTGGCAGATATATGGTTCCCAAAATTTTTCTCCCACTCTGTAGGTTGTCTCTTTACTTTACTGATGAAGTCCTTTAATGAACAAAAGTTTTTTAATTTTGATGAAGATCAAGTATGTTTTGTCTTTTGTTGCTCATGCTTTCGGTATCATATCTAGAAATCCATTGTTAAAAATTAGTCCCCAAAGCATAACCCTATGTTTTCATCTCAGAGTTTTATGGTTTTAGTTTTCACATTTAGGTCCTTGATCCGTTCTAATTTTTATATATGATGTGATGTAGGACAAGTTTATTCTTTTGCTTGTGAAAATCCAGTTTTCCCAGCACATTTTTATTAAAGAGACTATTCATTCCCCATTGGATGGACTTAGCACCCTTGTCAAAAATAAATTGTGTACAGATGTATGGATTTATTTCTGAGCTCTTAATTCTATTCCATTGGTCTATATGTCTATCATTATACCAGTGCCTGACTGTTTTGATTACTGTAGCTTTATAATATGTTTTTTGATTGGGAAGTGTGAGTCCTCAAACTGTGTTACTTTTCATGATTCCTTTGGATATCTGGAGCCCCTTGTAGTTCCGTATAAATGTGAGGATTGACTTTTCCATTTCTGCAAAGAGGGCTGTTGGAATTTTTGATGAGGACTCTGTTGAATCTGTAGATTTATTTGAGTACTATTGACATCTTAATATTATTAAGTCTTGTCATTAAGTCTTCTGATCCACAAACACAGAATATCATTCCATTTATTTAGGTCTTCTTTAATATGTTTCAGTAACATAGTTTTTAGTGTACAGGTCTTTCACTTCCTTGCTTAAATTTATTCCTGGGTATTTTATTCTTTTAGCTGCTATAGTAAATAGAATTGTCTTCTTAATTTCCTTTTCTGATTGCTCATTGCTGATGTATGGAAACCTACCGATTTTTGTGTGTTGACCTTGTACTTTGCCACTTTACTAATTCATTTATTAGCTTTCTTGTGGAATCTTTGGGGTCTTCTACATGTAGGATCATGTCATCAGTGAAAAGGGATAGTTTTACTTCTTTTTTCCTAATTTGTATACTTTTTTTTTTTTCTTGTCTAATTTCTCTGGCTAGGACTTCCAGTATGATGTTGAATAGCACTGATGGGAGTGGGCATCCTTGTCTTATTCCCCATCTTAAGGGGAAAGCTGTGAGTTTCTCCATCGAATGTGACATTAGCTGTGGGTTTTCCATAAGTACCCGTTATCAGATGGAGGAATTTCCCTTCTATTCCTAGCTTGTTGGGTGTTTTTATCATGAAAGGGTGTTGGATTTTGTCAAATGCCTTCTTTGTGTTGATTGAGATGATCATGTGTTTCTTTTGTTTTTTTTGATTTTACATTGATCGATTTTCTAATGTTGAACCACCCTTTGCATTTTGGGGATAGATCCCATTTGATCATGGTATATCATCTTTTTAATATGCTTTGGATTCAGTTTACTAGTATTTTTTTCATCACTATTCATAAGGAGTATTGCACTCAGTTTTCTTGTGTCTTCGTCTGACTCTGGTATCAGAGTAATGCTAACTTCATATAATGAGTTAGGAAGTGTTCTCTTCTGTGTTTTGGAAAAGTTTGAGAAGGATTGGAGCCACTTCTGTAAACATTTGGTAGGATTCCACAGTGAAGCCATATGGGCCAAGACTTCTTTTCTGGGAAGTTTTTGATTAGTGATTCCATCTCTTTACTTGTTATGGGTTTGTTGAGATCTTCTATTTTTCCTTGAATCAATGTGAGAAGCTTATGTGCGTCTAGGAATTTGTTCATCCAGCTTATCTAATTTGTTGGCTACTTGTTCATAGTCTTCTCTTATGATCCTGTTTCTTTCTATTGCAGTGTCCTCACTTTCATTTCTGATTTGAGATATTTGCTTCTCCTCTCTTTTTTGCTCTGTCAACCTAGAGAATGTTTTTGTCGATTTCATTGTTTTTCCCCTCTCTATTTTATCAATCTCTGCTGATTTTTGTTATCTCCTTCCTTAGCTGCTGCTTTTGGTTTGGTTTACTCTTCTTTTTCTAGTTCCTCAAGTTTTTTGGTTAGGCTGTTGATTCGTGTTCTTTCTTAACTAGACATTTATAGATAGAAATGTTCCTCTGAGCACTGTTTTCGCTGCATCCCATAAGATTTGAAATGTCGTACTTTCATTTTCATTTGACTTTAGGTATTTACCGATTTCTTCCTTGACCCATTGGCTGTTTTAGTGTTTTGTTGAATTTTTGTATTTTTGTGTATTTTCCAATTTTCTTTCTGTTTTAATTTTTAATTGAACTCCTTTGTCGTCAGAGAAAATGCTTTGTATGATTTCAGTCTTTTTAAATTTATTGAGACTTGCTTTGTGACCTGATGTGCGGACTGTCCTGGAGAATGATCCGTGTGCACTGGAGAAGAATGTGTATGGTGCTGTTGTTGGGTGGAATGCTCTGTATATGTCGTTAGGTCTACTTGGTTGGTAGTGTCATTCAAGTCCTCTGTTTCCTTGTAGATCTTCTTTCTAGATGTTCTGTCCCTTAGTGAGAGCAGTGCAATGAAGTCTCCAACTATTATTGTAGAGCTTTTCTATTTCTACCTTCAATTCTGTCAACTTTTGCTTTGTATATTTTGGGGCTCTGTTGTTGGGTGCATATATGTTTGTAGTTGTTATATCTTCTTGATGAATTGACCCTTTTTATCATTATATAGTGTTCTTTTTTGTCTCTTATAACAGATTTTGACTTCAAGTCCCTTTGGTCTGATATTAAAATCTCCACCTCAGGTGTTCTTTGTTGCTATTTGCTAGGTAGCTGCTGGCCTAAATTATTTTCCTTTTTAAATTCTAAATGATTTCTGGTGGCTTTGTATTTCATTTTATTCTGTTGTATATGTGTTTTCTCATGAAACACTCCCACTCTGAGAAAACAACTCTACATGCATATGGTAGATGGTGTCATAAATGGTTAATAGCAACTCTTTATCTATGAAATTGTGTATTATTTCCCAAATGGTTTCTTAAATATAGAAGTTTAATGGAATCATTTTCACTTTTCAGTGTGTCTAGCATAGCATCAGGAAATACATTATTCCTGTTACTATTACTTTTTGTTGGTACCTTGTGGTGCTGAGGGACAGGTGAGAGAATTGGACCATGCATAAATCTTTCTAGTTACTCTGCATAAATAAGACACTTGAATTGGCTGCTTATTTTAACATGTCGTAGCAGTGGAGGCTATTCATTGTCTAACTCTTGGATGGAATTTTCAGGTTAGGTTAGGTATTTTAAAACTGGTGTGTTTTTAAAAACATAGGTCTTTTTTCCATCCTCAAATTACAATATTTTACTAGTCTCAAATGCTGTTCTCCAACTAACTGAGTGTCTCTGAGAGAATGGTTATTTTGCAATCCAAGTACATTTTTAACAAAATTGTTAAAAGATTGTTTTTTATTTTTTGGTAGAATCAGAAAACCGATTTGTCCAGAATGAAAAAATAGGACAGGAATTAAGTGTTGACACTCTTAGCCAGTGGTGTGTGTGTGCTTTGTTTTGTTTTTGAAAGTGATAAATGGTAGATAGTTAGCTGGAAATGGAGGAAATGGAAATGCTGATAAGAAGTACCTAATAAAACTTATCCCTAAGACATGTTATGTTTGCACGTTACCATTTGTACTGTATTAAAGGGTAAGAAGTGATTGTAATAAACCTCTTATAGTTCTGCCTTTTAAAAGCTGATTGTCAATACTTTAACTTATAACTTGTAGGGAGCTGGTATAGAAATATATCCTGGGAGTAAGTGCACCCTGAGTGACAATGGGATTCATCACTGCAAGGAAGGGATACTCATTAAGGTGAGCACCTGCTGAAACACCCTCTTTCCAAAGATTAGAATGGTTTATCTAAGAAAAATTATGTTTTGTTAAATTCCCATGTTGGGTTCTGCTGTTTCCTGATTTTGAAATGCATAGTTGATCAACGTTAATAGTATCAATAGTTGCTGGTTGACTGTCTCTTGCGAGGATGCCTTACTGCCTGTAGATGTGTAGAAACAACGGAAACGCTGCATCACTCAGCACTCAGACTGGGCGACAGCATATTAACAAGCAGAGCTTTTCTGCTTATTTTTACAATAGCCTGAAAAAAGGTGAGAAGATTTGTAAAGCAGGAAGTGTTGAATGTGACAGTCCCTTAAAACCTTTGTCTTCAACGTCACAGGACTTCTTAGATGAGCATTATGACATTCCCAAAATCACCATGATGAATAATGTCATACACAATAATGAAGGTTATGGCGTCGTTTTGGTGAAACCTACGATTTTCTCTGACCTGCAAGAAAATGTCCAAGATGAAACTGAAGGTACTATATTTAGTAATCTTTTATGTAAAAGAATAGATCTAATTTACTCTGTTCCTGCACTAGACTCTGATACTGCTCTGGTCTTTCTTCTCGTCCTTAAAAAAGGATTGCTGTCATCTGCTTGGGCGTGGAGACAGAGAGGCTTGGTAAAGCCATACATGGAATCTCAGGGTGGAGGACACTTTCAAGGTCAACTAGTTCACCTATTCATTAGCAACCTTGATATCATAGTTTTTCTGGTCCTGCTGTTCCCTCCTTCTGCTTGCTTTCTGAACATTTCTAGAATAAGGTTGAGCGTATGATAGCAATGGTGTCTCCTGCTGGCATTTGTTAAGGATGTTGTGGTGGCTGTGTGCTGTTGAGTTGATTCTGACTCATAGCGAGCCTGTGTGACAGTAAAACCGTCCCGTAAGGTTTCCTAGACTGTAATCATCACAGGAGAAGATCACCAGGTCTTTTCTCCTACGGAATGGCTGGTGGGTTTGAACCGCCGACCTTTCGTTTAGTAGCTGGGCACTTACCCACTGCACCACCAGGAGAGAAATGCGTGTACTAGGCTGAAGGCAGCACTTACTGGAGGGGATAGTGGAGTTTGCTCTGCTATCTTTTGGTAGAAGCAAAACCCTCCCTGTCACCTGCCTTTCTTGGCAGAAAAGTTGCAGTAACACAGTGGGAAATTTGTGAATTTGAAGCCATGATCCAGATCAATAGTAAGTCTCAGTCATGTGGAAGGATTGGACCTTGAAGTTGGGTGGGCAGAGTTCAAAGGATGACCAGTAGTCCGCATCGTCCTTCAGGATTCACCCACTTATTTCCCTGTGAGTGTTTCATTATCTCACAGCTCTATAGTCAGAAGTCCAGGCAGGCTTGACTGGGTTCTCTGCTCAGGGTCTTACAAGGGTGAAATCAGGGCGTCGGTTGGGCAGGGCTCTTGCCTAGAAGCTCTGGGGAAGAATCCGCTTCCAGCTCATTCGTGTTGTTGGCAGAATCCAGTTCCTGGCAGTTGTAGGACTGAGGTCTCTGCTTTCTTGCTGACTGCTGGCCAGGAACCTCTCTCCGCTCCTAGAGGCCACTCTCAAGTCCTTGGCCTGTGGCCCCCTCCGTCTCAGCAATGGAAAAGTTTCCTCATGAGACATCCCTCTTACGCTTCTCATCTCTCTGGCTTCCTCGTCTGCAAAAGCTCTGCTTTTGGTGGGCTCCTGTGACTAGGTTAGGCCCACCCGAAGAATCCCCTTTCTTAAGGTCAACGGGTTAGTATCCTTAATTACATCGGTAGAATCTGTAGAATTTCTTTTGCCATGTAAGAATCATGGGTGTAACAACCATGGGGGCCATCTAGAATTCTGTCTATTACACTCACCCACTGAGAATGCTAATAAGTAGCTGCTAGAGTGACAGTTCCTTTAGGAAGAGTAGTACTGGGTTTTAATCTTTGCATCTGAACACAGTACTTAGCAGATAGTAAATATGCAGGAAATGTCTGTTGAGTCAATGAGAGTCTAGGCTCAAGAGGATGAGTTGGAAACTGGTGATCCTGTGTGAGGGTAAGGAAACCTGGGCATGCAGAGCAGGACACCTGCTCACTGAGATTCTTCTGGTAATGTGTGTGTAAAATCCAGTCAGATCACAGCAGGAATCTCTGGCAGAAAAAACTTGGAATCTCTAATAGATTGTGTAAAAACATATATGCTTTAGTTGGGCTCCTTGTATGTTTAACTTTGTTTTACGTTTTTTGTTTGTCCAGAAAATAAAGCGCTTAAAATTCAGACAAGTGGAGAGGTAGATGCAGCTGAAAAAGTGGATTTAGAAGAGCTGATTCAGTGTGCAACTGGTAAAATGGAGCTTTACGCCAGCTCTGACCCCTTGGAGCCAGTCGAAGGCAACTGTGAAATTGTCAATGAACTAGTTGCTGCTTCCACAAAGAAAGGCCAGATCAAGAAGAAAAGGTTGAGTGAACTGGGGATCATGCAAGCCGATGTCACCCTCATGTCCCAGGAGATGTTTGTTTCTATCGTGGGGAACCAGTTCAAGTGGAATGGGAAAGGGAGTTTTGGCACGTTTCTGTTCTGACCGCCATGATGTGACTCGATCTCGCCTGTTGGATTTGGCATGCGCTACCCTGAGAATCACTGCCGCTATCATAGTTTGCTTCGTGTCTGTATTTTATATTCCATGTACTCAGTTGGGTTTGAGTGTAATATAGATTTATTTCTATCTGCGGGTATTGCACAGAACGCTCCCTCTTTACAAGGAAGGTCATAAAAACATAACAGAAATAGTCGGAGATTTTTTTTTATATAGAAAGTCTAGCTTTCCTAGACACATAGTTCTCCGCTATGAAGCCTGTTTGTAACTTTCTAGTGTGGATTTGAATCTAGCACTTCAAAGGCAGTGAGTGCACGCAGATGTGATGTGGCAAAGGTGCCGTGTTCTTCTCACAGTTGTCTTTTTATCTCAATGACAGTGAGTCTCCTTTCCAACCAGTATTTGCATAATACTTGTCTTAAAATAAAAGCTTTTATGATTGGGAAGTTATCTGCCTAATCAGACTCCTTATTGAGAATCTGAGCGGGTTGCATTTTTATGTTAAACTGTGCAATCATTGAAACGGTAATAGGTAACATAGCAGGTTTGAAACAAATGGAATGTGTTGTTGAGAGCCAGTGCACACGTAAGGCATTTGCATTATTGCTGAATATGAATGATTAAAAAGAAGGTATTTTTCTTTCACCCTAACAGTATTCTGATCAAATTTCTTCTCTTCCAAAGTCAGAATGATTACCTATACAACCTGTATTAGCTACGTGGTCTTGACATCATATTGTAAAACACAGCTTCTAGAAGTATTTATATTTAAAAAAGTATATGTGACATTAATATGCCTACTGATTAAAATTATACTGATGAAATAACCAGCTTGAATCTTGTCGTCTTTTCCAAGGCAACTATGGGCCATGGTGTCCGTGTAGCATATATGATCATTGAAGTACACGCCCTATTTTGATATCTCTTTCTAGTGTTTCAGAAAGGCTATTCGGTTCTTTTTTAAAATGTATTTATGTGTGTTTCTTAAGTTTGGATAGATAATAACTTATTTTTCAGATGCTACTAAATGTGGAAGGATTTATGTAAGGTTTATTGTTTGGCCAGTTATTGCTTGGTGTTTTCATTTTTCTTCCCTTTTTTAAAAAAAAATTTTACGATGTTTTAAGTGAAAGTTTACAGCGCAAATTAGTTTTTCATTCAAAAATTTATACACAAATTGTTTTGTGACATTGGTTGCAATCCCCGCAATGTGTCAGCACTCTCCCGCTTTCTGTTTACACCCCAAGTTCCCCGTGTCCATTCGTCCAGTTTTCCTGTCCCTTACCGCCTGCTCGTCTTCGCTTTTGGGCAGGTGTTGCCCGTTTGGTCTTGCACACTTGGTTGATCTAAGAACCATGTTCTTCACGTGTGTTGTTACTTGTTTTACAGGCCTGTCTGATCTTTGACTGAAAGGTGAACTTCGGGAGTCGTTTCGGTTCTGAGTTAGCAAGTTGTCTAGGGGCCATAGTCTTGGGGCTTCCTCTAGTCTGTCAGACCAGTAAGCCTTGTCTTTTTTTTTTTTTTGCGGGAGTGGCAGGGAATTTGAATTTGTTGTGCATTTTCCTCCCACCCTGTCCGGGGCCCTCTACTGTGATCCCTGTCAGAGCAGTTGGTGGTGGTAGCCAGGCACCATCTAGTTCTTCTGGGTTCAGGCTGGTGGAGACTGTGGTTCCTGTGACCTGTTGGTCCTTTGGAGTAATATTTTCCTGGTGTCTTTGGTTTTCTTCATTCTCCTTTGCTCTGGATGGGATGGGACCAATAGATGTATCTTAGATGGCAGCTCGCAAGCTTTTAAGACCCCAGACACTGCTCGCCAAAGTAGGATGTAGAACATTTTCTTTATGAACTATGTTTTGCCAGTTGACCTAGATGTGCCCTGAGACAATGGTCCCCAGCACTCACCTCCAGAAACTTGGTGCCTCAAGGTGTTTGAATGTATCTAGGAAGCTTCTATGGCTTTGTCGTGGTCAAATTGTACTGACTTCCCCTATATAGTGTGTTATCTTTCCCTTCACCAAAGTTAACACTGGTTTATTATCTAGTTAGTGATATTCCCCCTCCGCCCCTCCCCTCTCTCATAACATCAAAGATTGTTTTTTTCTGTATGTAAAGCTTTTCTTGAGTTTTTAGAACAGTGGTCTTATACAATATTTGCCCTTTCAGGATTGACTTATTTCACTCTGCGTAATGCCCTCCAGATTCCTCTATGTTGTGAGATGATTTGTAGATTCATCGTTCTATCATTGCGTAGTATTCCATTGTGTGTCTATAACATAGTTTGTTTATCCATTCATCCATTGTAGGACACTTAGGTTGTTTCCATCTTTTTGGTGTTGTGAATAATGCTGCAGGGAACATTGGTGTGCGTATGTCTATTTGTGTGATGGCTGTTATTTCTCTAGGATATATTCCTATGAGTAGGATTGCTGGATCGTATGGGATTTCTATTTCTAGCTTTTTAAGGAAGCACCATATCGTTTTCTATAGTGATTGTACCATTTTACACTCCCACCAGCAGTGCGTAAGCAACCCAGTCTCCCCACAACCTAACCTGCCCAACATTTGTTATTTTCTGGTTTTTTGATTAGTGCCAGTAATGTTGGGGTGCATTTTTCTAATGACTAATGATTGTGAGCATTCCTTTTTTTTTTTTTTTTAAATCCTGCTGCAGAGGGGCTTAAAAAGTAATGTTGATTAATTCTATATTAGCTTCAGCCAAATACTGGTTTGAAAACCGTTCATTAAAATTTTTTTCTTTTTTTTTTTTTTAGTCAAATAGGTTTTTCAGTTGTATTTCCACTTTATCTTGGAGTTCAGAGTCTGTGTATTCTCCTGTAACTGCCGGAGTGTCAAAGGGACGTAAGCTTAGGTAAATAAAGCTGATCTCTTCCTTGCTTCTTTATATAGCACAGCAGTGTTTCAGATTTTAGTTCCATTCATTAATTTTTATTCAAGTGATCAGTTAGTGAATAGGCTTAATGTGTTCTTATTTAAGTTACTTAGAATCCATTTTGCCTCAATCACGAAGAGTTAAGCATCTCAGACCACCTAATACAGAGAGAACGCTGAAGGAGCGTGTGTTTGACATTTGAGAAGACAGCACTGACGTGGAAAAGGGACTGTGTCTTCTGTGTTGATCACGTTACCAGGTTGTCCTGTCCTTGGGGTGCACCCTGGCCATGCCCTTCTTTACTTGCAATTCCTTCGAGGCATCTCCCTTCCTCGGATCCTTGTCCTGTTGTTGCACCACAGGTACAGACATAAATATATTTTCAAAAACTGCCTACAGATCATTAGATCTCAAGTGTATACACTCCACTTTTCTGGACTTGGAAAAGGATGATGAAGTATCCACTTTCTGGATTTGGCTCTTCAGAGGGAGGTTGAAGGAGGGAGTTAAAACGCTAATGAGCACCTAGTAATGTTTATAATTCAATTTGCTGTTATTCTCTCTATTCCTTTTCTAGGAAAAAAATTCCACAGACTTTGTGAAAGTTAAGTTGATATAAAAATAGAGTATTAGGCTTTGATGCAAATGCCAGGTGGAGGATTTGATTTTATAACATTTTATTCTGTGATTTTTTGAGGAGATGTGTATGTAAAAATTTTTTTAAAAGTCCTACACAGTGAAACCTGTGAGAGACGGAACTTGACAGGATTGCCTGGTTTTTCTGGGTCTTGCAATTTTTCTGCTTTGACGGTGCAGTCTTGCCACTTTTCTGTTGCTATTAGTGGAAAATATTTGAGTTTTCCTTCTCTGACAAGTTTCTGCCTCACGCAGGTTCCATCTTTCGCAGGTTTTACTGTATGTGTTAAAGTGAAGGTCTCTTTTCGCAGTTCAGTAATAGTGAGAACTGGGAAAAGAGACCTTCAATATATATATTACACTATGCCTAGGAAGAGACCTGTAGTATGTATGTCACACCATGCCTAGAAAGAGACCTATAGTATTTATATCACACCATGCCTAGAAAGAGACCTATAGTATATATATCACACTGCCTATGAAGAGACCTGTAGTATGTATGTCACCCTATGCCTAGAAAGAGACCTATAGTATTTATATCACACTGCCTATGAAGAGACCTGTAGTATGTATATCACACTATGCCTACAAAGAGACCTATAGTATATATTATTACACTATACCTTCACAGCAACTAGTATGACTTTTAAAAACAAATAAAATCAGGCGTAGTATAATACTCAAAAAAACTGCGTTTACTATTTCCGTTAACATATTATGGAAATCTATGGCGATACAGGCAGTCCCCAGATTACAAATGAGATCCCTTCCTAGGTGTGTCTTTAAGAATTTGTAGGTAAGCCGGAACAGACGCGTACGGTTCTTATTTAGCCTTCCTTTAATGCAAGAGAAGACTCAAAGCCTTTTCAATGACTTAGAAGCTGCTCGTGCAGCAAGTGAAGGTGATTGTAACGAGACTATGTTGGGACTAGAGGCTGGTTCAGCGTTTCCAAAGTGAGGGCAAACGTACGTAACATTGAAGGAAGTCCGAGTTGTCCCTTATTCATCTGTAACCCAAGGACTTACTGTGCATATGGATCCACTTCGGTATTTTTGATGGTTGCGTTGTTGTACTTCATCGTCAGAATTTTTTCGGTTGTGATGGAAACCAACCGGACAGTCTGAAGTCCCCATGTGGAGCGACACCGTTGTTACATTAAATTTTCATTTGTGCCTCCTGTTGACCTGATTTTAATCCTCTTGGCTCGTCATCTCCAACTAAATGTATATTCTGCTGTAAGGATCCAAATCACTAACAGCCTATCAAATCTGGCAAGAAGAACTGTTGTCTAGCCATCCCACATATAGCAAACTCTTTTTTCCTTGTCATGGCTTGGAGAAAATGTAGTCTCATTGCCATTCCATTTTTATTTTTCAGAAGTTTCTTGACTATGGAGCTTTTTAAAATACAGCTGTTATCAGCTTTATTGATACAATAAAAAATCAATTATTGTAAATATGCTATTCTCTGAGTTTTGCAAATACATACAGTTGTGTAACCACTACCACAATGAAAAGATGGAATTTCCATCACCTCCAAAATTCCCTTATTTTCCTTTTCGGTCATTCCTCTCCCCGATCCTTGGACACTGTCAGCCATTGATCTGCTTTCTGTCACCATAGTTCAGCCTTTTCTACGATTACATATAAAAGGGAAGCATGCTGGATGTGGTCTTCCGTGCCCACCGTCTCACGTTGAGTCTAATGCTCTTAAAATTCGTCTGTGTTGCTTCATCTGCCAGTAGTTTGTTTCCTTTTATTGCTGAGTAGTTTTTCATTGTGTGGTTGTACCAGTTCCTCAGTTTGTTCAGCATTTGATGGATCCTGTGGGTTGTTGTTAGTTTCTGGCTGTTACAAATAAACTTGCTAAGAATATTTGGGGTAAATACCTATGAATGGGATTGCTAGGATATACGGTGTATGTACGTTTTACTTTCCTAGAAAGTCCCAAACTCTTTTCCCATTTTGTATCCCCACTAGCAATGTATGAGAGTTCTAGTTGCTCCATATCCTTGCCAACACTTGATATTATCAGTCTTTTAAATTTTAACTGTTCTAATGGGTGTGTAGTGATAGCTCATCATGATTTTAATTATTTACATTTCCTTTATCCTAATGATGTTTAGCGTCTTTTTATGTGCTTGTTTGCCATTCCCGTGTCTGGTGATGCATGTATTCAAATATTTTGCCTCCTTTTTTTTTTAGCTAGGTCGTTTGTTTTTTTGCAAATGTTTTCTTCCTGTCTATGGCTTATTTTTTCATTTTAATGGTGTCTTTTGAGGAGG